TTTTTAACTAGTTTATGATTTTTATAAGTCATTTAATTAACAAATACTTATGGCTTCCCAACTTTGTGGAGGGCTATGGGAAATTAACCAAAGACTTTGCCCTGACAGAGCTTAGAAATCAGCAAAAGAATGGCATGATCAGTTTTACTTCAGGAGGATTAACTTCATCTCAGTATTTTATTGGACTGGAGGCAAGGAGACCATTTAGAAGGTTATTACAGTAATTAGTTCAAGACGGAGAAAAATGGAAGGTCTGATGTAGGATAGCGACGATTAAAAGAAATGAATTAAATATAAAAAGTAATATGAGATAGAAATGACAAATGTTTTATGCTTTTACATCTTTTAAAGAGTTTCTTATAGAATGTTACCAGTGCTGAAACACTGTTTTCTTAGTTACAGGTGGAGGACAGCCTGGGTGAACCACGTGCACATAATAATACAAAGTGGTGACCTATCACCCTATTACAGATGCGTGAGTCATTTGTCAGATGTTTAGAGAGAAATAGCTGAGTGTTTAAGAACTATACTTTTGTACCTAGAGCTTACCACCAGCACTAACTGGTTAACTATATCATTTGGATGTTAGCTTTGATTTCTAAAATCAAACATCAACAACTCAAAAAACTAGGTCCAGAACTAGATTTCTCCAACTAAACTGGGAGCAGTGGACTGTAAGCCATGAGTCCTGAGGTAGACTGGAAAAGCCTGTATTTTCATTTCGATAATATATACAAAAAAAGGATATTCTGGATAACCCACCTCATATCTACAATCAACTAGAATTAGGGTGGGCTAAAGAAAAAGGCAAAGAAAGGTCTTATAAGGTAAATGATGTCATTTATGCCAAGTGAAAGCAAAACCACCTAACCTGTGATTTAAGGAGGAAAGCTCTGCAGCATTCAAACACAGAAAAGTGGTATAAAAATTGAGTTATCACAGGATATATAATATATAGAAAACTGCCAGCCTTGCCAAGGCATTCACTATGCAAAGAAAGGTTTCGTTTCAGCAAAACATCATCATCCACCACCCTAAATTTAATTTGTTTTACTGATTTTTTAGTTTTGTTTATATTTCATTTATCAATTTACTTTTGTTTTATACTTGCATAAAAGCAATAAGCATAAGGAATTTATATTTATATATATCTAAAAATTTGTGTGTGTGTGTGAGGAGATCAGCCCTGTGCTAACATCTGCGAATCCTCCTCTTTTTTTGCTGAGGAAGACTGGCCCTGGGCTAACATCCGTGCCCATCTTCCTCTACTTTATATGGGACGCCACCACAGCATGGCTTGCCAAGCAGCGCGTTGGTGCGCGCCCGGGATCCAAACTGGCGAACCCCGGGTCGCTGCAGCGGAGCACGCGCACCCAACCACTTGCGCCACTGGGCCAGCCCCGAAAATGTTTTACTAGAATAAAATTATTTACGCCAATACTGGGGATCCACAATATTTTCTTTCCCTTTAAAGGCAGGCTGTATATTATTCACGCTTAAGACTAACATGGAGGAAAAAACATGGGGATTCAAATCAGAAAGACTCATTTCCAAATCTTGACTCCCATAGTTGTTTAACATGAAACCCTAAGCAATGATCTCTCTAAGCCTCAGTTTCCTTGCAGGGTTACTGTGAAGACAGTTATGTGGTACACTGTAACTCAAATGAAAATTCTTTTCCTCTTTATCTAAATTAGCTTCTCCTGATTTCTCTTTTTTTATGGCATTCAATATTCTATCAAACAGCAGGGTTTAAGAATTGTCATCTGTGATGTCTCTCCATAGAACTATTAATCTGTCATATATCATGCAGACTACACCTTCACAATGTCTCCTTCCCACTGCAATCAAGAATTTCCAAATCTCCAAAGCATGGAGCTTACTATGGTATTTTTACCCCCATCTCCTCCTACCCACAATAGCCCTCTGTGATTAAAAGAAAAAGAAAGCCAATGAAAAAGCATTCTAATCTCCCTCTTTATTTTAATCACTTTTTAAATTCTTAGTCTTACTACTAACTTTGCAGCTGGGGTGACATGGACCAAATAATTGCAACATAAAAGCTATAAGGAAAAAAAAAAAAAAAAACAGAACCAAACCTCTACTGGATAATACCAGAACATCAAATAAATGATTTTTTAAAAATTCATTAACTAAACCTTCTGAGCACCTCTCAGTTATTTCCCCTAACATTTTTTTTGGTCTCTTATTCTTTCAGTGAGTGAAAGCCAAATGTCCAAGCTACACACACACACACACACACACACAATATTTCCCCTCTGAAGAAAATACATAATGTATGATAATGTATAACATACTATGACATCATCTCTTTGTAGGAAACTTGGATGAGGAAAATTACTGCTAATCATAAACATTACCAATGGGCATTTCTCAAATATTCACCTCTCTGTTCAGGCTCATATACTCAATGTCACTGACCCAACCTTCCACTACAAAAGCTGGAAAAAAAACAGAGGGTCCCAAATTAATGTATAAAAATTGGATTCACTTGTAACTTTTCAGTAACACTACCGTTGTGTGCAAGGAGACAGACTCCGTAGGGATCTGCAGCACAATCTAAAACATACTCGGATCTTTAGGTAACTTAACAAAATTAAACTATGGTTGTCATAAAGTCAATCAATCCAATTCTCCAGCTCTTTAAACAAAGGCTAACAAGTCCAGTATTCAGAATAAAACAGAGGTCTCAATGCATCTTTACCAACTTACTGTACTCACATCAAGTGCGTGCATAAAGCCATCACAACTTCCTTCCTAACAATGAAGGTAAAACTTGTGAATCAAAATAGAGCTCGCAGAGCTGTATTTCATTTGGCTTATAAAATCTCCTGCAAAATCTTCCATAACTTTACTCGCAATAGATTGGGGGGAGGGGGCAGGGAAAAAAATGGATATGAAATATGACTGACAGCATCTCGACTGTTATTTGCCAAATGGCAGGAGCAAAGGGGTCACTCTATGGATGACAGAGCCATAAAAGAAAAAGACAAAATTTTTAATTGTTACAAAACTGGTCCATATGCTCAAAAAATGTGAGCATCCACACCCCAACAAGTTATAGACTATGATCTAAGACACAGAGCTTAAATGCAGAATAAAATGCCAACGCTCTGCCTCCCCAAAGAAACATCCAACCCCATAAACTGCTGAACATCATCACACCAACATCCACCACAGTGGATATTTTAAATATTAAATCAGGAAATCATGATAAGTGCTAGCGGTTCCTCTAGGCCTCAGCAGCAGCCTTAGGTACAAGAGCAAACTCGAGCCCTCTTAACACTCAAAGAATAATGTTGATGTCATTACGAGGCTACTGATTCTTTGCACTCCGGACTCGTCATTCCTTGGTCCACAACGCAATTCTTCCCCCGCCCACCACCCCCCAAATAAAGAGATCTCAAGACAGAGAAGCCCTCGGGTAGCCCCTTCTCCTCTACCTCCGGCGGCTGTTGCTTTCTCCTCCCTCTGGCTCCGAGGTGGGGGCTCCAGAAGGTCCCGGGCAATTCCGAGCCCGGGCGGTGCTTGTTTTGCCAGTGCACGGTAGCTCTGGCCAGCCGCTTCCTTTCCCAGTTTGCCCGAACTGGAGCGCTACAGGAGACCGGGGGGCCGAGGAGGGAGCCCGGGCCGCGACGCCGCCGCTGCCGCCGCCTCTGGTATGTCAGGGGCCGGGATTGTATTTCGAAAGATCCGCCATTTTCACCTCGTCATCACCATCACAGCTCAGCAGCTTCCCCGACAGCCCGAGCCCGGGCCGCCGCCGCCGCCGCCGCCAGTAACCTCCCCCTTCCTCCTCCTCCCCTGCTCGGCCCTCCCCTCCCGAGAGGCGCACACCCACATATCCGGGGAAACCTCCCGCCGGCCCCGCCAACCTTCAAATACACAGGGAGGTACAAACGCACACACAGCCCACGCCGAGACCTTTCACCCCGCAACGAAAAATGGTGCTCCTGCGGGCCCGGCAGCCACGCGAAAGGAAGTCGCGCTACCCGCGGGGTCCCAAGTCCGGCATACTTTTGTTTTGAAGAGCAAAAGCCATGCGGAAGGCGGCAAACGGACAATAAAGACCCCAAACTCTTTCATTTTCAGAAAAGCAACTTGAGAGAGATGATGGAATGCGTTTTATTCACTGTGTCCATCTCAGACACTAAAAACATGATCAAGACCTTTAATGTCATTCACCAGCTCTGACATTTTCCTCCACCGTCAGCAGCACTACTTTGACAGAATGAGCTATTTCCATACGCACGCCTGACCTCTCGGACAAATTTGCAAATTACAAGCATTGATCCTCACGTAGATACTGTGGTCAAAACATCTAGTTTTTTTAAAAAAAAAGTTCTGAACTATTTTCCTCTCCACTTAGTGCTCCTGGACAGAAATAATCAGATGAAATTGTGACTTCCAGTTTGCTTGTCATTGACTCAAGAGGTCAAAACACAGCTGGGTTTAAAATGTATTGATCCTATTCATGAATGAATAATTTCTGAAATATACAAAATATACCTAAGATAAAATTCTTTGCCAAATGTTTCTAGGATCTAAGTCCGCAAATTAAAATAAAAACCATCTGCTGCTGATATACTTGTTCAATGGTGATAATAAACAGCTTGCTTTAGAACAAAAAGACCCCTGAGTTGTCCACAACCCCCACCAGCTCCTCATGCAGTTTAACAAATAAAGAGAACATAGGTATTTTTTAACCATCAAAGAAATAACAAGCAGACATAAACTGCAAGGCTTTTCACGAGACCAGAATTTTTTAAAAACTAAATTGCCTACCTTTGTTAATTTCAGAAAGATCTGATAATCACCCATTCAAAAGCTGAATTCTATAACTAAAGCATAAGCTCTAAAAGACCTATCTGAAATGAGCAAACTGAATTTCAAGGTTGCGAATAGGGCTACTCTCCTGTCTTTTTAGAAGTTAGTCTAAGAAGAGCGAGGCAGAAGTTGAAAAAGCCATTTCAACTTACCTTGCTTGAATGACAACTCCATTTAAAAGTCGGTAGATTCAGGCTTAAACAAGTGCTATTTACCACCCAGCCCAATCGCCGTTTCTATATGCAGCCTGCTAGAGACTGAGGGTATCAATCAAATCTTCCCAGCTTCTTCATCTTTAAACTTTATTTCCCACCGCCAGCCCGGTCCACTCGCACTCTGCTTGGTGTTTACCGTTGCTTGGCCAAGCCAAGAGCCGGCCCGCTCCCTTTCCCCGTGCACCTCGGGAACATTATGACATTTGGCTGGTGGGCTTCGCGAGGAAAACGGACATACACGAAGACGACACCATACAAAGGGGCGTAGGGAGAACGAGGCGGCGGGCAGCGGGGAAAGGAGGAGCTGGTACAAAATGACACAGCAGCCAAACCGGTTCCCAGAAACCCGGTGCCGACACGGCAGGCTTCTCGGGCCACGCAGTGTGCGTGTCAACAGCCGCGGGAGCCCTTCCTCTAGACCGCCTGGAAGGGCGGGCTGCCGGCCGAGCGCCGGCCCCGCCGGGTGACAGCCGCCCTGCCGGGTGCCGGCGGGAAGGGGCCGAGCCCGGAGGATCCTCCCGCCCCCTGCGGCCCGGGGA